CTCTCGTGTGGTCTTTTAAAAAAAAAAAAAAAAAAAAAAAAAAAAAAAAAAAAAAAAAAAAAAAAAAACAATATTTCTAAGTTAGTTTTGTCATCTTGTCGCACAGCCTCGTTGTTGTGTGTACACGTATTATTTTTCTCCCAGCACACACGGCGCGTCGCGTTGCTACATTTGCGCCGATTTTCTCTTTTTTTTTTTTCACCTTTTCGTCCGCGTGTATATTGTGTTTTTCACACTATAACCGGCGTAACAGACACACATCTCTATTAAAATATCGCTCCATTATTCTCGCTAATAATTAACAGTGCATCATGTAACGGTAATGCAGTTTTGAAAGCAAGCCACTTCGTAATGTGTTATAAAACATCCTATAAATGACGATGTAATAGTACAAACAATTTGCATCGCGGCCGTATCACTGTTGCATTAATCGATCGCTTGTAATTCGAAAATGATCCGGAGCCGCCATGGATGCGGTCATCGACCATTAACGTCGGCGGAAAATAACGGAGGGGAAGAGTGGGAGAGACGTTAATCTCATTCTCTCTTGATGTAATAAAATCGCGAATGACGAGAACAAGTGTACATATACATCTTTTTTGCGGAATTTCGAGAGTTTGTTTTTTTTTTTTTGTTGAAACGCGATTATATTGTAAATTTTTACTTTTACATTTTGTAATCTTTTTTTTTTTTTTTTTAAATGGTGATACCAACCGCGCTAAGATTTGAGACTCGTTGCGCAAAATTGATGTCAAAGGTGATGCTGTTGGTGATATTAATACGTTTACAGGGGCGCGAATTTAATATTTGTCACGCCATTACGTACAAATTAACAAGAGCGTTCGAAAGCTAGCCGATATTAATTCGCGTGTTTTCGCACGCGAAAATTTGAGGTTTGTCGCGCTGTATAATTCAAAGTGTTCGATATATAACCATTTCCCGATGATGATATTAGTTCGGCGAACATATTCGTTCGCGCGAAGTTCGGATCACGTATCGAGTGCCTAAATCGTTAAACTGCGCGTAATATCTAACATGAGAAAGGGGGCATTTTCCGTCGCGCGATACCGACACCAGTGAAATTAACGAAACTTCTGGTGAAAATCTGGAAATTGTTGCATATCGCGCGTATATAATTCCACATTTCAAAGGTCAGAGTTTCGGATTTCACTGTGCGCGCGCGCGCGCGTGTGTTATATAGTTAATTCAAAACTCGCTGAGATTTAATATATATTAGACCCGATTAATATTAATCTACACGGAAAAAAAGTTTTGCTATTACATGGTCAGCAAAAAAAAAAAAAAATGGTTGACCCTAGGAAATTTTTTGTTTCATCAAAACAATAGCAAGAAATAGCAAGAAATTAGTTACTATATGGCCAGCAAAAAAACATTTGTTAAGTTTAGTAAAATTTTTGACAAAAAAATAGAATGTTGTTGGCAAAATGTTTTGCCAACAAAACATTTTGTTGGCAAAACATTTTGTTTTGTTGGCAAAACATTTTGCCAACAACATTCTATTTTTTTGTCAAAAATTTTACTAAACTTAACAAATTTTTTTTTTGCTCCGGCCATATAGTAACTAATTTCTTGCTATTCTAGCAAATCTTTTTTTTCCGTGATAGGTTCACACAAAAATTTGTCGCGTCTCACACGCGCCATTATGATTCGACGCGGGCGTTTCGCTTATGACATTAGCGATATTAGCTTATGTTATCAAGAGTAGATATTCTTATACGTGTATGTGTGTGTGTATATATATATTTCTCTCACATGTATAAATTACTTTGTTCGTACAGACAATATACCAATATACTTATCGATTTCTCCTTTTCGGTCGCGAAGAGAACTCCGATCTTTGTCAGTTTAATATTCTGCAGATTTATATACGCGTAATAATTTTACTGCAATATTGCGTCATCGTTTAAATTTACTACGCGATTAAAGACCGTCGTTTTAAATCGCAGTCGCAAAGCAAAGAGCTATCGTTGTCATATTAATATCTAGTCCAGTGCCTGGAGGTGTCACACGCCCGTTTCGTGCACGCGCGGTCATGCGTGCGCGTAAACTTGTTTCGTTCGCGCGTACATGTGCCGCAGACATCGCGTTTTTAAATTCTTTACGTCAAGAGAAGAAACGTTGCGTTTAGAAACGGATGTGATCGCGCTTCGAATTGTGCGTTCGGTTGTCACTTCCGTAATCCTTTTCCCGCAGATGCGTGCGATTTTAGAAAACTTGATAGTTTTTTTGTATTTTTTGTTTTTCTTATATTGGGGAAGAAACAGCAAACATAAAAATAAAATTTGATATTTGATGCTTTCGCGGTGTGTAGTATTAACATACAAAGATGTTTTTTCGGGTTTGAACCGCGTTAGTGTCATTTTTATACCGACGTTTCGTGAACATTACTTAACCTGATACCAAGTATCAGGCTGCTCTTCAAACCCTGATGAAGTGAGCTGTAATGTTCACGAAACGTCGGTATAAAAATGACACTAACGCGGTTCAAACCCGAAAAAACATCTTTGTATGTTAATAAAAATAAAATTTATACAATATTCATGATCTCCGACATCTGATTCGAAGATCATGAATATTGTATGTTGTTGTCGGACGGAATGTTTCTCGGGAAGTTGTCGAATGATGTTCCTCCGATACAAATGTTATTAACAAACATTTTGCGCGGTTACATCTGCGCGCAGATACATTTTAATAATTTTTTTTTTCTCACAGTATACTTACAGCATACTTACGTAAAAAGTAAAAAACTATTTTATTTTTTTTTTATTTTTTTTTTTTAAGTGGACGTATCTCATATATGCACGATGATGAAAACTTTTGTGCGACGTCAGGTTTTAAGTCGGCAAAAATTACGGTGCACTGCGCGTCCTCATGTGTTCGCTTTATCTCAGCGCCATACAAAAGAGATTTTCCAAGGAAGTGCACACTGGCGGCGAACCTTGTGCCACATATAATTAGCATTTTAACGTCGCCTTCCAGTAATTTCGGAGTAAACCCCGCGCGAAGAGAAAATTCAATTTTTTTGTTTTACAAGAGCGACTTTGTAAAAATGGCGACAACGGAGGATGATATTAAATTTTTTTGTAATCCCAAGGAAAACGAAACGGTGTTTCAATTGATGTTAGAGCTTACCGTCCGGTAGCATTAAGTCTGTTGTCGCAGAAAAGTTAAAATATACGGTTCTTTCTTTAGCGCAAAATAATTCGATAACATTTAAATTTACACATCGTTGTAATTTGTTTACTACGATGTTTTTAATCGCGTCAATTTGTTCATTTGATCGTGAGAAAAAAGATTAATATCGCGCACTTCGTACGGATTTGCAAAATGCAACGTTTTTTTTTTTTTTTTATGCATATACAAATTCGAATCGTATATCCGATGATAAACAAAACTTTTATATACAACGTGTTTTTTTGTGTAATTCCGAGCAGACGGTCAGTGTTTCTCTCAAT